CCAACATCACAGATGTCATGCACATAGATCGCGTGCAACAACATGAGTTTTTGTGGTTGAGGACATCACATTGATTCGATGTCCTACACTGGTTTTAACTGATGATCAATTGTGTAAGGCCTGGATTCCTTTCTCCATCTGCTGGCCTCAAGTTCGCTGACATCCCTAATGGGCTTGCGGCAATCTCGAAGGTGCCAGTGGCAGGATGGGCTCAGATCGCTGCGTACTTTGGCTTTGTCGAGTTCAGCGGTGGCTTCGATGACTACAAGAGCGGCACTCCTGGTGACTATGGGTTCAAGGTCTTGACTTCTTCTGATCCCGAGGAGAAGACCAAGAAGCTGTCGGCCGAGCTGGCCAACGGCAGACTGGCCATGATGGCGATCATTGGCATGTTCTTTCAGGAGCTTGTCATAGTGAAGTTGTCAAATCAACTTATTTCACTCATAGCACAATAGCACCTAGTCGAACATGTTGCATCAAATTGCAGGATGATGTTGCAACAGGTTGCAACAACTTGGCAAACTATTAAGTATTCTGATGACACTTGAAAGGATGGCTTGACTGGAAGCGCCTGGGGTGACTGGGCCAACTACACTGCTTCTCCCTTGCGTGCCTTCGAAAAGGAGCTGGGTGCACAGGTAGGGTTCACCAGTTGAGATATGAATCAAAACTGCGGGGAGCTGACTTGACATGACAACTTGACACAGTATATGACTCCTATGACTCCTATGACTCGTGATAGGCACCTTTGGGCTTCTGGGACCCATTGGGCCTGTCCTCTGATGGCGACCTGTACTCTTTCAAGCGCCGCCGATCCGTTGAGCTCAAGCACGGTCGCATCTGCATGTTGGAACATTGGCTGAACCAAAGGAACTGGATTTGCGTACACTGTACACATTTGAGATCATTTGAGTGCAAATTCGCAAGTGGGCTGTAGTTGCTGTTTATGGGCTGGAAGGCTTTGGACATGTGCTGAATGTTTGTTTTTGCTGCTCCTGAGGCAACCATGGGCTACATCACCCCAGAGGCTCTTGCTGGGCGAATTTCTTGCCACCCCGAACCAAGCTGAATTGAACATGTCTGGTGGTGCCTGTCTGAGTGTTTAAGATGCGAATCAAGCGCTGGTCTTTGACAGGTTGCTGGCAAGTTCCCTGGCTACTTGTCCCCTTCCAACAAGTTGCTCTTCTCTGACATTCCGAACGGTCTTGCTGCCATTTCCAAGGCACGTTTTGCTGCGTTACGGATCCTTACAAGTGACAGCAAGTGGTCGAACTTTTGAAATCAAAACGTTGTGACAAATATTTGTGGAAATCATTTTCTAGTGACATTGACAGTGCCTTTGTCCAGGTTCCATTGGCCGGCTGGATTCAGATCTTTGGCTACTGCGCTTACTGTGAGATTTCAGCAGGATATGATGCAGATGTAAACAAGCGCACTCCTGGCGACATGGGATGGAACCCACCTATCTTCTCCGGAAATGACCCTGAGACCAAGACCCGGCGATTGAATGCCGAGTTGGCGAATGGACGCCTGGCTATGATGGCCATCATCGGCATGTTTTTCCAGGCATGGTGGCTCAGTTACGTTGCAAGTGAATATCAATAGATTTCGATATATGATTTGTTTTCCTTAAAATTGCCTAATGTGATTTTTTTGACTGATTGTTCAGAAGCAGTCATGGAAAAAGTTTAGATGAGAAACTTCAGAGCCAGAGACTCGTGGCAGCTGTCAATCAATTGCTTGCCAACTCAACTTAACCTTTTTTCTCCAACTACATCAAACAATACACAATTTCTCTATCTTAGAATAAAATCTGCGTCCTTCAGACAAAAGTGGGACGAAGTGTATGAATGGAATGTCAAAGGAACATTTGGCAGATCTTCCAGGGAGATGTATTTATCTTCTTTCACAAAAAACATGTTTTGTTCTGATCTAAAGGGCGCGAAACGCAGTGCAGGCCAAAATTCATTACCCATCCATTTTTCATGCCCTTGTTGAACGATTCATTCATTCATTCATTCATTCATTTATTCATCCATCCATTCATTCATTCACTCATTCATTCACTCATTCATTCATTCATTCATTCATTCAGTCATTCATTCGTTCGTTCGTTCGTTCGTTCATTCGTTCATTCATTCGTTTATTCGTTCATTCATTCGTTCATTCATTCGTTTATTCGTTCATTCATTCGTTCATTCATTTCATTCTTTCATTCTTTCATTTTTCATTCATTTCATTAATTTCATTCATTTCATTCATTTCATTCATTCCTTCTATTCATTTAATTCATTTCATTCATTTTTCATTCGTTCATTCATTCGCTCGGTCGTTTGTTCGTTCCTTCTTTCATTCATTCATTCCTTCATTCATTCATTCATTTATTTATTTATTCATTCATTCATGGGGGTGTTCATTCCCTATGTACCCATTCAGTTATTTGTCATGCATTTGTTTGGAAACACGTTTTTTCATCCAAACATTTTTTCCACCCACTCCTTCTGTGTGTTCTTGTTCATCCTCTTGTTCCTCATTCGTTCGCCCATTCATCCACCCATCCGCGGATGCATATGTGCACTCATTCGTTTGTTTTAACTAGTTTAAGCATCATGTCTGGCTTTGTTTGTTCATCGCGCTTCACGTGAAGGACCGCCAATATAGCGGAAATGCTCAGAATAAGCCTTGAAGTGTGAAATTTCAAAAAAAAAGAAGGAAAAATGCCCAGAACAGGCTGCCATCTTGGGGTGGCAGCGCTGGCCATGGGAAGGCAGAGTTTTAAATTGAGCCTGTGGCAAAGAAACTCCCTAAAAACAAGGCCAAGACGTCTCCAATGACATGGGACAATTTGTCATATCCTTGTAACATTTGTAACGGGAAGTTCCAACAGCAAGTTCAAAGCGTAGCATCAAGGGCCTGCTGGAAGTTCCAAGAGCAAGTTCAGAGCGTAGCATCAAGAGCGCGTTGGAAGTTCCAAGGGCAAGTTCAGAGCGTTGCGTCAAGATTTTGTTGCAGGACGCATACAGATGATCGCAGGCGGATGGACGTTATCTTGTTTATATTTAGCTGTAGTTTTGTATTTTTTTTGGGGCCGTCGACGAGAAATCCAACAAAAAGGAAGAGGTGCAAACGAGAATGACAAATATCTTTCACGTCTTTCTTCCTTGAACCTTGCCGCAACATAACAAGAGGGGCTTCGCAATAAACAACCTTGAAGTAGAATGTAAAAGACCGACGCAAACTTAAGACTGCAACTTAGTCGCGACAAAGATATGCGACACAGTGCTCAACACCAACTTTGAGAAAAATATCTCAAGAGCTGTGGCTACGCTTTTTCCCCCGCTAGCAGACGAGTTTTGCAAATATCTTTTTTGCGTTTTGATTGAAGCAATTGGGTTAAAAACTGACACAGATCTGTTGATGGCTGAACCAACCACCATCCAATAAATCTGACACAGACCTTGGCTGAAACAGCCACAGTTGGAATACCAAGCCAACTTCAGCTTTGGCAAAGTCATCTTTGGCCCCTCTTTCTTGATATGCAACATGGCGGCCCACGAGATCCCCACTTGCTGCATTTCAACTTGCGGTGCTTCTGAAACAGCTTTTCGAGCCCCAAAGTTCCAACTATCCGTATTTGGACTAAGCGCAGATCTCTTTCAGCTTGCTTGATTTAAAGGGTCCTTAGCACTACAGAGTGCACAGCTGGCTGATTCTGAGTCAGCGCTCTTGGGCTGAAACAGCTGCAGAAGGAAACACATTGAAATTGAAATGCGTGAGCTTTTTTAGATCTTCATTGCACCTGTTATGAATCAATTGCTGTTTGCTGAACTGAGTCTACAGGGTGTCTGCAGCTGCCGCAACGCATGTTTATCCACTTTTCCACTTGTCATTTTTTTGCATCTCACATCCGACTTTGAAGACAGCACCCCGCCGCAGTCTATGTGGCTAAGATCCGGCCCTTTCCAGCTGATCTGACATTGGTCGATGCCGCGGTGGCATACTTGTGGCCAAAGCAGCCACCAAAAGCCGAAGCAGCTAAGTGGCCGAAGCAGCTACAGCTACAGTAGCCGAGACAGCTGCGGCCTCTTTGGCGTAGAGATGGTGTGGCCAGTTTTCAGCCACAACCTTTCGTGAAGTGCTTGAGCCGAGGCTCCTAAGCGGATCTCAGGCATGCTCCTAAGGAGAGGACAATTTGTCCTCTCCTTAGGGGGTTCAAGGACGACGGCGAAGCTCGTCAGGAGAGGACATTCCCACCCGTTGATTCGAGGTCCGTTGAAAATTTTGGGATGCTCCTAAGGAGAGGACAAAAAGCACATATTAAGTAGCCAAGCCTGTCTCCAAATCAAAGCTTTCGTTGAATCTCCCAATATTTGTGGGTAATCGTCTCTTAGATTCAACCCATTGGTAGGTTCCATGTAGCGACCAGAAACCCAAAGTCTTTACCCTGACGCTTCAACCCACCCCAGCCAATTCCTTTTTTTGCGAAAAGTCTATCACGACCTGCTATGTACAAAAACTGACTCAGTATGTAACGCAGCTTCAAAGTAAGAAGCCGGAACAGCCTCAAAACAAGCCAAAGCAGCTTTGACAGCCGGAAGCAGCGTGCCTGATGCTGCAAGGGCTTGGCTGAAACAGCTCTAAATTTGAAAGCACTTCGCAAGCAGGAGCCGAGTCTGAAGGGCCGAAGCAGCCCTCCTAGCTGCGTGGACATGCTGAGCCGAAGCAGCCGAACAGCCACCGCCCTCCTGAAGCCAATGTCTGACTGCTCCAGAGCCCGCCTTTGTACTTTGATGCCTTTGGAATATTTTTTTCTGCATGTGAATGGGGTTTGTGATTTCATTGTTTGCTCAGACGCTTGTCAATCCGCTTTGGCTGGAACCGTGCAGGGAACACCCCATGGCGTGCGCAACCAAGTTCCCAGCTCTGGGTGATGACATGAAATACAGAACTGTGAGCCCCATTTCAAGCCCAAGACAAGCGACTTGGATCGACCATTGCAAAAGCAGCAATGCTGCCGTCGTGTTTGACAGCTACTGACCCAAATTGCAAACGAGAAATAAGAATAAAGCAGCAATAATTTTGAATACCTCTTCAGCTGCCTCGACGAGAAAAATTGAAAGAGCCAATGGAAAGTGAAAACATGTACGAATAGGTATGAAATTTGCAAATGAAAGAACCAAGGAAACAAACAACATGTTCCGTACATGTCTTAGATGTCACAAGTTAGGGTTGCAAAGGGTATTCAAAATCAGTCATTGTTGAAGCAAACGAGATTCTCAAATAGCTTAGCCAAACAAAAAATGCAAAAAATATCTCAGGCCCAAAAGAAATACAAAATACAAAAATACAGCTAAATATAAGCAAGTTATTGGCCCACCTCACCCAACATAATTATAATGTGTGGGACGGTAAAAAATGAGTCAGCAAGAACCTATTCTGTGAGGGATTATCACAAAAACACATGTTTTGTCCAGGTTGTTATCAGCATCTCCTGCATAAAAACAACACGCTCAACTGAAGATACCGTTCAAAGTTTGTGTCCAAACTTAAGCGACCCTTTTGCAACCGTGGCATGGCAGGAAGGCATGACTCAGCCGCAATGAAAATTTCACTGCGATTGCCACTATAAGGATCCACCGCAACAACATGGAAGTGCATATGCTTGCAAGCATCACGCACCCAGAGGCGCAAGTTATGGTAGCCTGGGGGAGGAAGAATAGGTATGAATCAAGCGAGCAAAACCTTCGACATCAACGATGCATTTTAGTTTATGACGTTTCTTTTCCTTTGTTGTTGAAGACATAAAGAATCCCCAGACCTGTGCATATGCACATCGACGCGCAAAGATAATCAAAGATATAGTCATCGACAGATATTTTTGATGCCTCGCATTGACAGCGTTTTTTTCTGGCATTGCGATTTTCTAGCACATCGTGATTTGCGGTGTGTGACCAACCCAAGCGCCGAACATGTGTACAACACAGACAACGTGATTGCTTGTTTCACAACAAAAGCGGGTTTGAGTATCACGAAGACGTTGTACAATGTAAGAGAGGGGTCCAACTAGCCAGAGCATCCGGGCCGCCGTGAAAAACTTAAGCCAATTTTTTGAGCCTTACCTAGCATTCCCAAAGTGAAAGATCCATCCGAGACTGATGTCAATCAATCCTAGATCACACACACACACACCTTGCCGTTGGAGTGCGGGCTGACTTTTGCACCGCTCACTCTCTCACTCACTCACTCACTCACTCACTCACTCATTCACTCACTCACTCACTCACTCACTCACTCACTCACTCATTCATTCATTCATTCATTCATTCGTTTGTTCGTTCTTTCCTTCCTTCGTTCCTTTGTTCGTTCATTCATTGAAATTTTCCTTCCTTCCTTCCTTCCTTCCTTCCATTCAAACATACAGTCGTTCATTGATTCATGCAGTTCAACCCAACTCAATCACTTCACTTCATTTCATTGCATGTCATTTTATTTTTCATTTCATTTCCTTTTCATTTCATTTTCATTTCATTGTCATTATCATTTTGACTTTCATTTTTTCATTTGATTTCAAGTCATTCCACTTCATTTCAACTCATTGTAGCTTTCTTCAATTCATTTCAATACATTTCAGCCTATTTCAATTCATTTCAATTTGTTTCAATTCATTTCAGTTTTTTCACATCATTTCATTTCAGTTAGTTCGTTTCAGTTGTTTCAATTCATTTCAAGTCGTTTCAGCTCACTTCAATTCGTTTCAGTTTGTTTTGCATCATTTCAGTTCATTTCGATTGATTTCAGTTCAATTCATACCAGCTCATGTCAACTCATGTCAGTTTGCTTCCATTAGTTTCAATTCGTTGCAACTTTTTCAGTTCATTTCAAATCATTTCAGTTTGTTTCAACTGAATTTCAATAACTTTCAAGTAATCTGAGTTCATGTCAATTCATTTAAATTTATTTCAAGGCATTCAGTTTATTTCAGTCCATTTCAATGCATTTTAGTTTTTGTCAACTGATTTCAATCTATTTCAAATCCCTTGAATTCATGTCAACTCGGTTGAGTTCAGTTCAGTTTATTTCACTTGGTTTTAGTTTTTTCCAATCATGTCAGTTCATTTCAAACTATTTCAGTTCATGTCCAGTGATGTCAGTTCATGTCGGGTCATTTCAATTCTTTTCAATTCGTTTTAACCCATTTCAGTTTATTTCAGCGCAACTCAGTTCATTTCACTTCGTTTTGGCTCCTTTCAATTCGTTTCAATTCGTTTCAGCTCATTTCAGTTCAATTCAATTCATTTCAACGGATTTTATTTAATTCTTTTCGCTTCATTTCATTTCAGGTTATTTCAGGTTTGCAGTTCGTTTCAATTTGTTTCAGTTCATTTCAAGTCCTTTCAATTCTTGTCAGTTCGTTTCCATTTAACTAAGTTTATTTTACTTCTTTTCCGTTCATTTCAATGCATCCCAGATCATGCCAATTCATTCCAGTTCATTTCCACTTATTTCAAGTGATTGCGTTCATGTCATTCACTTGGCTTGATGCATTTTATTGGCTTCATTCATTTCAGCAAGTTCATTCATTTCGTTTCTGTATTTCATTTGCCTCAGTTACATTCAGTGCATGTATTGTATTTTGTTTTTTGGTGCCACTTGTTTCATTCATGTCATGTGCGTTCGTTTCGTTTCGGCTTGTTTCGTTTCCTTTCGTTTCGTTTGATTTTTTCACCTCATTCCTTTCATTAATTTCATTCCTTTGGTTCATTTCATTCATTCCATTCACTCCGTTCATGCATGCATATGTTTGTTCCTTCGTTCGTTCGTTTCTTCGTTCGTTCAATTGTTGAAATCTTGGCTCGTTCATTGTCCGTTTGTCCGTTCGTTCGTTCCTTCATTCCTTTATTCCCTCATTTTGTCATTCGTTCATTCGTTCGTTCATTTCGTTCCTTCATTTCACTCGTTCGTTCGTTCGTTCATTCATTCGTTCATTCATTCATTCATTCATTCAGTCAGTCAGTCAGTCATTCAGTCATCCAGTCATTCAGTCATTCAGTGGTTCAATCGTTCCTTCGTTCATTCATTCGTTCATTCGTTCATTCTTTCATTCTTTCATGCCTTCATTCCTTCATCCTTCATTTCTTCATTCCTTCACTCCTTTATTCCTTTACTCACACATTCACTTATTCACTCCTTCACTCATTCACTCAGTCATTCATTCACTCATTCACTCAGTCACTCATTCACTCATTCATTCACTCACTCACTCACTCATTCATTTATTCATTCATTCATTCATTCACTCATTCATTCACTCATTCACTCACTCAATCATTCATTTACTCACTCACTCATTCACTCATTCACTCATTCACTCATTCACTCATTCATGCATTCGTTCATTCGTTCATTCATTCATTCATTCATTCGTTCGTTCATTCATTCATTCATTCATTCATTCATTCATTCATTCATTCAGTCTTTCATTCATTCATTCATCCATTCATCCATCCATCCATTCATTCATTCATTCATTCAGTCACTCACTCATTCATTCATTCATTCATCCATTCATTCATTCATTCAATCAATCATTCATCCATCCTTGTATCATGCATTCATTCCTTCATTCCTTCGTTCCTTCCTTCATTCCTTCCTTCCTTCCTTCATTCGTTCATGGGTTCATTCATTCATTCATTCCTTCCTTCATTCATTCATTCATTCATTCACTCATTCATTCACTCATTCACTCACTCAATCATTCATTTACTCACTCACTCATTCACTCATTCACTCATTCACTCATTCACTCACTCACTCACTCACTCACTCAGTCAGTCATTCATTCATTCATTCATTCATTCATTCATTCGTTCCTTCGTTCCTTCGTTCCTTCGTTCCTTCGTTCCTTCATTCGTTCATTCGTTCATTCGTTCATTCGTTCATTCGTTCATTCGTTCATTCGTTCATTCGTTCATTCGTTCATTCGTTCATTCATTCATTCATTCATTCATTCAGTCATTTATTCATTCGTTCATTCGTTCATTCGTTCATTCGTTCATTCGTTCTTTCATTCATTCATCCATTCATTCACTATGCACTCATTCACTTATTACTCACTCTTTCAGTCATTCAATCATTCACTCATTCAGTCAGCTTGATTCATCCAGGGAATTTTTTATTTTGTCTTCTTCGCGCATTCTGTGAATCCTTTGTCCTTTGCCTTGCTTGATGTGCAGCACGCAGGATGGCTTGACTGGAAGCGCTTGGGGCGACTGGGCCAACTACACAGATTCTCCTCTGCGCGCCTTCGAGAATGAACTCGGCGTGCAGGCGCCCGTGGGTTTCTGGGATCCCGCAGGTTTCACGGCCGACGGAAGCGTGGAAGACTTCAAGCGACGTCGTGCTACCGAGATCAAGCATGGTCGCATTTCGATGTTGGCCACCATGGGATACATCACCCCAGTGACTTGGATTTGCTGAAGCTGCGTTTAAGATCGTTTCAGTACAGGACGTTTTTGTTAATGTTTCCATTTCAGCAATTACAGTAGATAGTTGCCGAATCTACTGGAAATTTGTCTCTGAATGCATCCTGACGAAACTATCCCCAGGAAATCACTGGCAAATTCCCCGGCTACTTATCTCCGTCCGCCGGTCTGAAGTTCGCCGATGTGCCTAATGGTTTGGCTGCCATCTCAAAGGTTCCAGCTGCAGGATAGGGTTGAAACAACTGGCTACATCTGAAAATCAAAGCATCCAAATATATCACACACACACATATATATATATATGTATATGTATCATATGTCTATATGTATGTATAAAAAAAAATATATATATATATATATAGGAAGGAAGTTTTGAAGTCAAACTTCCGACAGTACCGGTATGGACAGATGGAAAAGCAGAGGCGGGAAGAGTCAGAGAAGAGAAGAGAAGAAGAGAGAAGATCAGAGAAGAGAAAGGGTCAAAAGAAAGAAGATGCAGGTGCGGGAAAAGGTAGAAAAGTCGCGCTTCGCTTTGTTTTTTGAATGATTTGTGGCTCCGGCAGGTCGAAAAGTAGGCTCGCTAAAGCGGTGGGTGAGGAGCCATCTGGCCAGATGAGAGATGAAACATTGCACGCCGTTCTGGCGCGAAGCACGTTTCGAAGTCAAAATGTGCAAAACACCAGGTTCGGAGCACTTTTGGAAGTTGAGACGTTGAAAAAGTGTATGCCGGCAGTGCACGCCGCTGTGGCGCGAAGCACATGTCGAAGTCAAAATGTACAAAGCACCTCAGAATTTGACCCCTTTCGGAAGTTGAGACATCGAAAAAGTGCACGCTGTTGTGGCGCGAAGCACATGTCGAAGTCAAAGTAGAAAAAGCTGACGGGTACGGAGCACTTTTGGACGTTCAGATGTCGTTTTTGCCCGGCAGGCGCAAGGGATTGCGCACCTTGTCAAAAGTGAGCAACACATGAGGGTTTTGTAGCAGCTTCAAAAATGTTGGCAAGCATGGGACTTTTGAAGAGGATCTGCAAAGATGCATGTCGTGTGGCAGGCGCAGTACAAGAGATACGTTCATCAGAGATGTTAGGAGGTCAGGGCTCTGATTTCCTGAGAGGGGTTGCATTTTGGAGCATCAGATCTTCAGGTTTGCTAAGATGAATTTGCGTGGCAGGTGCACCACTTCGTGTGACCTGGCATCATTTTTTCGTGGCAGGAGCAGCACTTTAGACAGATTGGTACGAGGCCATCAGCTCTGCACTCAAGTTTCCATTTTTGAAGGAAGTCTCGCAGAATAGCATCGTTTTGGATGTTGCCAAGTTCAAAAAAATGAGGAAGTCTCGCAGAATAGCTTCGTTTTCAAGCTTGCAGAAAGAAAAAAGATAGATAGATAGATAGATAGAGTAGATAGATAGATAAATAGACAGATAGATAGATAGGTAGGTAGGTAGATAGGTAGGTAGATACGTAGATAGATAGATAGGTAGATAGATAGCTAGCTAGCTAGATAGATAGATAGAAAGATAGCTACAACTACAACTGCAACTAGACTACCGCTACAACTACGAATACACATACAAATATACTACACTATAGTACAGTGATTACACTACATTACACCAACTACACTGCACTACACTACTTGCAACTACACTACGCTATACTACACTACTTGAACTACACTACACTAATTTCAGTACACTTCGCCAATTACACTACAACTATAACTACAACGACAACTTCTATAACTACTACAGCTGCAGCTACAACTACACTACATTACACAACACTATGCTAATTACAGTTCACCGCACTTCACTACACTACATTCAACTACACCTACAACTACAACTACAACTACACTACATTACGCTACATTACACTACATTACACTACATTACGCTACATTACACAACACTACACTACACTGCACTGCGCTGCACTGCACCGCACTACAGTACAGTACACTACAGTACACTACACTATACTACACCACACCACACCACACCACATTGCACTAACTAGACTACACTACGCTACACTACACTACACTACATTGCACTAATTTGACTACACTACACTACACTACCCTACACCTACACCTTCACCTACACCTACACCTACACCTACCCTACACTACCCTATACTACCCTACCCTACCCTACCCTACACTACGCTACACTACGCTACGCTACACTACACTACACTACACCACACTACGCTACACTAGAGTACTCTACAACACACAAATCTACATCACATTACATTACACTACATTACATTACACTACATTGCATTACGCTACGCTCATTACACCACACCACAACTACAACTGCAACTACACTACCCTGATTACATTACACTATAACTACAATGCCATCACGCTACAACTACAACTGCGCTACAACACACTACATTCAGCAGTTGCGGGTGAGGTGACCACTGCAACCATTGCAACCACTCCAAAAAACACAACTCCAACCACGTTTCGGTCCGTAAGTGGATTCGCTCTGCCATCCATGCATCAACTCACCTCTCCTATAGTGTCCTATCTTTGAAAACTTCCGCCACCGCCTGGTGGGGTACTACTGGTATATGGAAAATCCGGTACACTTGGTTGATACCTTTGTGGATACACGATAGATGTACTGGTCCCTAGACATACACTATAAGATGTGTTTTGCTGGTTTATCTGTGTTGGCTTAGTTTAGAGGTCCATATGCCAACCCTGGAGGATGGGGTCAGATCTTGGCCTACATGGCTTTCTGCGAAGTCTCCCAGGAACAGACCCCAGGAACTGATGCATATGCTGGAGACTTTGGATTCAAGGTGTTGACCGCGGCTGACCCAGCTGAGAAAACCAAGAAGCTCAATGCCGAAATTGCAAACGGAAGACTGGCGATGATGGCCATCATCGGCATGTTTTTCCAGGCGGGGATAGGTGCTGTGCGCGTATTGTTTGTTCCAACCCACCAAGAAAAAAACACCACAAAGGGTCTGAATAAGGAAGCACAACTTTGTGAGATTCTGCTTGGTGTGTTCTGTGTTTCTGAAGTTTGTTTCTTGCCAGCTATATTTTCAGCACATAGCGTGTTTGATTGTTTGAGATTGTTTCGACATACTGCGCTACGGTATGCTACAGTGCTATGTCACTTGTTTATTTACACACGCTTACCAGTAAGATGAGTTGTAGACTGTACCTGGAAAGAGTGGTGACAAGATCAGATTGTGAATTTGATATCATAGTGTCGAAGCATGCGCAAAGACATGGCAGATTTGATGAGTGATATTCGTTTTGTTGACCAAATGTGTATACACAAATAGCATTGCATATCACACCATATCATATCACATCATGTTGTATCCTATCATTCGATTTATCTATCTATATATATATATATGGCTCGTACTTCGCTTGTGGCGGTAAGATGCCCCAATCGCTTGTGGCAGAAAGAACGTTCATTTTTTACCGCCGCAAGTTATTTTTTTAGTGCCGCGGGTGATTGCTGTTTTTGCGTCGCAGGTGCAGCATTTCAAGGCCTAATCGCTTGTGGCAGTAAGATCGCGGTTTCTTTTTTTCAATCGCTTATGGCGGTAAAAATTTGTCGCTTGTGGCGGTAAGTGGGTGTCCTTGATGCCAGGGTATAAAAACCAATCGCTTGTGGCAGTAAGCTGCTTTGCAGCACTTGCGCACATACTTGTCTTCTATCCATGTGATTTCTACACATTCACTGGAACCATTGCAACGCTGACGTACAGAAGGTTTATGTTAACTTCTGTCGTGCAGGATTTCACTGTTTTTACTGATGTCTCGATTGAAGTTTAGATCATGTCTGTATCCTTTTAAGGGGATCAAAAAGAGGGTTGGAGCAACTTTTTAGGGGGCTATTCGACTCGGTTACCATAGGTAAAACATATGGCTTTTGATAGCATTTGGTGTGAATCCAACCCAGAGAGAATGAATGAAAGCAGAAAAAGAAAGACCGACTTTTATCCAGGTGGAATTTCAGCTCGGCTGTGTTTTTCATGTCTTTTCGTGGTTGATATATTGGTTATAGATACCATGGCAATAGCCTCACGTTAGGATTTATATAGAACGGCGCGACCGCGACTAGACTTGTAGCTGTTGAGCGAGCGTAGTGATCCGTGTATTTCCATGGGAGGGTTTAGGGTGGAAACTTTACTTACATACCTAGCACATCCCGGCGGAAGGGAAACCGCGCGAGCGTTTTGATTGGTTGCTTCCAGGAGAGTCACAATCACCTGTAATTTACAATATAAAATGCTCCTCCGATCAGTTTGGATAACTGAATTTGGGTTTAAAAAAGTGGATGCAAAATCTATTGATTTTTAACAAATCCAGGTAAACATCATGTGCATCAGACGTGGATGCGCAGATTTTTTTTCACACTCTTCGTCGGCTCAGCGATCCATCAGTGTGGAAGCTGTCAACCTATGCATCACTACCGCACCCAAACCCATACGCAGCGCAGCAACATGTAACGTAGGAAACTATCTCAGAGATACCAGCAGCGTAGCAACATGTACCTTAGTAAACGATCTCGGAGATACCAACCGCGTAGCAACCTGTAACGTAGTAAACGATCACAGAGATCTCAGCAGCGTAGCAACATGTCACGTAGTAAAAGATCCCAGAGATCTCAGCAGCGTAGCAACATGTAACGTAGGAAACTATCTCAGAGATACCAGCAGCGTAGCAACATGTAACGTAGGAAACTATCTCAGAGATACCAGCAGCGTAGCAACATGTAACGTAGGAAACTATCTCAGAGATACCAGCAGCGTAGCAACATGTAACGTAGTAAAAGATCCCAGAGATCTTAGCAACATCGCAATATATCCTGTACGAAGTACAAGGAACGTTAACATGCCCCCCACCCCACCCCACCCCAACCCCAACCCACACTAACATGGCAATATATCCTGTACGAAGTACGAGGAACGTTAACATGCCCCCCCACCCCAACCCACACTAGAGATCTCAGCAGCGTAGCAACACGTAACGTAGTAAAAGATCCCAGAGATCTTAGCAACATGGCAATATATCATGTACATTCATGTACGAAGTACAAGGAACGTTAACATGCCCCCCCCACCCCACGCCACCCCAACCCCAAGACAAAGAGCAATACTCAAAAAAGAAGCAAAACGCACGTACGGTTTTCCTGCCGTAGGCTAGCACATCATCATTAATCTTCTTCTCCTCCTCATCATCATCGTCATCATTGTCATCATCATCATCATCATCTTCCTCCTCAACATCATCATCACCATCATCATCGTCATCATCAACATCATCGTTAACATCATCATCATCATCATCGTCATCATCATCATCATCATCAGCAGCATCATCGTCATTATCATCAACATCATCATCACCACCATCATCATCATCGTCATCAGCTTCAACAACATCATCATCATCATCATCATTCTCATCCTCCTCCCTCCTCCTCTTTGCCGTCATCGTCATCATCATCATCGTCGTCATCATCATCACCATCATCATCATCTTCATCATCTTCATCATTTTCATCTACACTCTAGTACTTTTTGTACTTGCCCCAAACTGTTTGGGGTATCTTGCTACTACATTGTCCTTGTTTGTTACGTGTGGAACTGCCCGTGGTGAAGCTTCACCGCGTTTCTCACCATCATGGAGAACAGACAGCATCTATAGCCTTATTGAAGCTTCTGTAAGCAGCTGAGAGTCACCCGGCCAGAAAGCTGGATGAAAGAATTTTGCTGTCTTGAATGGTTGCGTCTCCTGATATTTTACTGCTCTCATTCTTTCTGCATGCATTCTTGGATCTCACTTGTGCTAGCCACCGGGTTGCTCAGATCACAGAAAGCTGCTGTGTTGAAGGAACTAGAGGCAGGCTGGTTTGTTAAAGGTTTTTTCACTAGAATTTCATTGCCTGAAACATACGCAGGGTCCCTCGAACCACGCTGTCCAGCAGTAACTGATGATGAATGAGCAGTGCCTGTTGCCGTGCCTGTGTGTGTGTGTGTGTACAGGAACATGAACGTTATTATCCCACCCCACCCCACCCCACCCCAGCAGTAGCTGATGATGAAAGAGCAGTGCCTGTTGCCGTGCCTGTGTGTGTACAGGAACATGAACGTTATTATCCCACCCCACCCCACCCCACCCCAGCAGTAGCTGATGATGAAAGAGCAGTGCCTGTTGCCGTGCCTGTGTGTGTACAGGAACATGAACGTTATTATCCCACCCCACCCCACCATTAACATGAACGTTCCGGAATCTTACTGCCGCAAGTGATTGGTTTTGAATCGTCTTACAAGAGTCTTACTGCTGCAAGTGATCGAAAATCTTACTGCCCCAAGTGATCGAATCTTACTGCCGCAAGTGACGGTTGAACCATATATATTGGTACTGTGATAGTCATAGAAGCATCTATGAAAACGTTGATATTTCATGATATCTTGGTACTACTACCCTTTGCTTTTGATCCTTGCAATGACTGCCATGCCCCAGGATGGTCTGACCGGAAGCGCCTGGGGAGACTGGGCCAACTACACAGCATCTCCTTTGCGCGCCTTCGAGAATGAACTCGGCGTGCAGGCCCCCGTGGGTTTCTGGGATCCCGCAGGTTTCACGGCCGACGGAAGCGTGGAGGACTTCAAGCGACGTCGTGCTACCGAGATCAAGCATGGTCGCATTTCGATGTTGGCCACCATGGGATACATCACCCCAGTGACTTGGCAATGCTGGAGCTGCGTTTAAGATCGTTTCAATACAGTATGTTTTTTGTTAACGTTTCCATGTCTGCAATTACACTGTATAGTTGCGGAATCTACTGGCAGTTTGTTTTTCTTGATGGAACAATCCCCAGGAGATCACTGGCAAATTCCCTGGCTACTTATCTCCATCAGCTGGTTTGAAGTTCGCCGATGTGCCTAATGGTTTGGCTGCCATCTCAAAGGTCCCAGCTGCAGGACAGGGTTGAAGCAACTGGCTCCATCTGAACATCAAAGCCACATATATCCAAATATATAATGTAAAATCATGTAAATACAATTTAAATGTATATATATATGTGTGTGAGAAGTTAAAGTTGGTTGATACCTTTGTGGATACACGATAGACGTACACCTCCCTAGACATACACTGTAAGATGTGTTTTGCTGGTTTATGTGGGTTGGTATAGTTTAGAAGCCCATATGCCAACCCTGGAGGATGGGGTCAGATCTTGGCCTACATGGCTTTCTGCGAAGTCTCCCAGGAACAGACCCCAGGAACTGATGCATATGCTGGAGACTTTGGATTCAAGGTGTTGACCGCGGCTGACCCAGCTGAGAAAACCAAGAAGCTCAATGCCGAAATTGCAAACGGAAGACTGGCGATGATGGCCATCATCGGCATGTTTTTCCAGGCGGGGATAGGCTGTGCACCAACCCACCAAGAAAAAAACACCACAAAGGGTCTGAATAAGGAAGCACAACTTTGTGAGATTCTGCTTGGTGTGTTCTGAGTTTCTGAAGTTTGTTTCTTGCCAGCTATATTTTGAGCATGTTTGATTGTTTGATATTGTTTCGACATACTGCGCCACAGCGTGCTACAGTGCTATGTCATTTGTATATTTACACACGCTTACCAGTAAGATGAGTTGTAGACTGTACCAGTACCTGGAAAGAGAGTAGTGACACGATGATTGTGAATTTGATATCATAGTGTCGAAGCATGCGCAAAGACATGGCAGATTTGATGAGTGATATTCGTTTTAGTGACCAAATGTGTATGCACAAATAGCTTTGCATATCACACCATATCATATCACATCATGTTGTATCATATCATTCGATTTATCTATATATATATTGGTACTGTGATAGTCATAGAAGCATCTATGAAAACGTTGATATTTCATGATATCTTGGTACTACTACCCTTTGCTTTTGATCCTTGCAATGACTGCCATGCCCCAGGATGGTCTGACCGGAAGCGCCTGGGGAGACTGGGCCAACTACACAGCATCTCCTTTGCGCGCCTTCGAAAATGAACTCGGCGTGCAGGCCCCCGTGGGCTTCTGGGATCCCGCAGGTTTCACGGCCGACGGAAGCGTGGAGGACTTCAAGCGACGTCGTGCTACCGAGATCAAGCATGGTCGCATTTCGATGTTGGCCACCATGGGATACATCACCCCAGTGACTTGGCAATGCTTGAGCTGCGTTTAAGATCGTTTCAGTACAGTATGTTTTTGTTAACGTTTCCATGTCTGCAATTACACTGTATAGTTGCGGAATCTACTGGCAGTTTGTTTTTCTTGATGGAACAATCCCCAGGAGATCACTGGCAAATTCCCTGGCTACTTATCTCCATCAGCTGGTTTGAAGTTCGCCGATGTGCCTAATGGTTTGGCTGCCATCTCAAAGGTCCCAGCTGCAGGACAGGGTTGAAGCAACTGGCTCCATCTGAACATCAAAGCCACATATATCCAAATATATAATGTAAAATCATGTAAATACAATTTAAATGTATATATATATGTGTGTGAGAAGTTAAAGTTGGTTGATACCTTTGTGGATACACGATAGACGTACACCTCCCTAGACATACACTGTAAGATGTGTTTTGCTGGTTTATGTGGGTTGGTATAGTTTAGAAGCCCATATGCCAACCCTGGAGGATGGGGTCAGATCTTGGCCTACATGGCTTTCTGCGAAGTCTCCCAGGAACAGACCCCAGGAACTTTCTGAAGTTTGTTTCTTGCCAGCTATATTTTGAGCACATCGCATGTTTGATTGTTTGATATTGTTTCGACATACTGCGCTACGGTATGCTACAGTGCTATGTCACTTGTATATTTACACACGCTTACCAGTAAGATGAGTTGTAGACTGCACCAGTACCTGGAAAGAGAGTAGTGACACGATCAGATTGTGAATTTGATATCATAGTGTCAAAGCATGCGCAAAGACATGGCAGATTTGATGAGTGATATTCGTTTTAGTCACCAAATGTGTATGCACAAATAGCTTTGCATATCACACCATATCATATCACGTCATGTTGTATCATATCATTTGATTTATCTATATATATATATTGGTACTGTGATAGTCATAGAAGCATCTATGAAAACGTTGATATTTCATGATATCTTGGTACTACTACCCTTTGCTTTTGATCCTTGCAATGACTGCCATGCCCCAGGATGGTCTGACCGGAAGCGCCTGGGGAGACTGGGCCAACTACACAGCATCTCCTTTGCGCGCCTTCGAGAATGAACTCGGCGTGCAGGCCCCCGTGGGCTTCTGGGATCCCGCAGGTTTCACGGCCGACGGAAGCGTGGAGGACTTCAAGCGACGTCGTGCTACCGAGATCAAGCATGGTCGCATTTCGATGTTGGCCACCATGGGATACATCACCCCAGTGACTTGGCAATGCTGGAGCTGCGTTTAAGATCGTTTCAATACAGTATGTTTTTTGTTAACGTTTCCATGTCTGCAATTACACTGTATAGTTGCGGAATCTACTGGCAGTTTGTTTTTCTTGATGGAACAATCCCCAGGAGATCACTGGCAAATTCCCTGGCTACTTATCTCCATCAGCTGGTTTGAAGTTCGCCGATGTGCCTAATGGTTTGGCTGCCATCTCAAAGGTCCCAGCTGCAGGACAGGGTTGAAGCAACTGGCTCCATCTGAACATCAAAGCCACATATATCCAAATATATAATGTAAAATCATGTAAATATAATTTAAATATATATATATATATGTGTGAGAAGTTACAGTTGGTTGATACCTCTGTGGATACACGATAGACGTACTCCTCCCTAGACATACACTGTAAGATGTGTTTTGCTGGTTTATGTGGGTTGGTATAGTTTAGAAGCCCATATGCCAACCCTGGAGGATGGGGTCAGATCTTGGCCTACATGGCTTTCTGCGAAGTCTCCCAGGAACAGACCCCAGGAACTGATGCGTATGCTGGAGACTTTGGATTCAAGGTGTTGACCGCGGCTGACCCGGCTGAGAAAACCAAGAAGCTCAATGCCGAAATTGCAAACGGAAGACTGGCGATGATGGCCATCATCGGCATGTTTTTCCAGGCGGGGATAGGTGCTGTGCGCGTATTGTTTGTTCCAACTCACCAAGAAAAAAACACCACAAAGAGTCTGAATAAGGAAGCACAACTTTGTGAGATTCTGCTTGGTGTGTTCTGAGTTTCTGAAGTTTGTTTCTTGCCAGCTATATTTTGATCGCATGTTTGATTGTTTAAGATTGTTTCAACATACTGCGCCACAGCATGCTACAGTGCTATGTCATTTGTATATTTACACACGCTTACCAGTAAGATGAGTTGTAGACTGTACCAGTACCTGGAAAGAGAGTAGTGACACGATCAGATTGTGAATTTGATATCATAGTGTCGAAGCATGCGCAAAGACATGGCAGATTTGATGAGTGATATTCGTTTTAGTGACCAAATGCGTATGCACAAATAGCTTTGCATATCACACCATATCATATCACATCATGTTGTATCATATCATTCGATTTATCTATATATATATTGGTACTGTGATAGTCATAGAAGCATCTATGAAAACATTGATATTTCATGATATCTTGGTACTACTACCCTTTGCTTTTGATCCTTGCAATGACTGCCATGCCCCAGGATGGTCTGACCGGAAGCGCCTGGGGAGACTGGGCCAACTACACAGCATCTCCTTTGCGCGCCTTCGAGAATGAACTCGGCGTGCAGGCCCCCGTGGGCTTCTGGGATCCCGCAGGTTTCACGGCCGACGGAAGCGTGGAGGACTTCAAGCGACGTCGTGCTACCGAGATCAAGCATGGTCGCATTTCGATGTTGGCCACCATGGGATACATCACCCCAGTGACTTGGCAATGCTGGAGCTGCGTTTAAGATCGTTTCAGTATAGTATGTTTTTTGTTAACGTTTCCGTGTCTGCAATTACACTGTATAGTTGCGGAATCTACTGGCAGTTTGTTTTTCTTGATGGAACAATCCCCAGGAGATCACTGGCAAATTCCCTGGCTACTTATCTCCATCAGCTGGTTTGAAGTTCGCCGATGTGCCTAATGGTTTGGCTGCCATCTCAAAGGTCCCAGCTGCAGGACAGGATTGAAAAAACTCGCTCCATCTGAACATCAAGACCGTCGGTGTCGGTGTCGGTGTCGGCGTCGTCGTCGGCGTCATCGTCATCGTCATCGTCATCATCATCATCATCATCATTATCATCATCACCATCATCATCATCATCATCACCATCATCATCATCACCATCATCATCATCATCATCATCAGCTTCAGCATCATCATCATCATCATCATCATCATCATCACCATCATCATCATCATCATCACCATCATCATCATCATCATCATCATCATCATAGTTGACACAATCTATGGTCTGTTTTGTTCCTCTTGGTGGATATGCTCGTGGGTGATGCCATTATGAAATATTTTTATATAAGTTGTCCTTCAAGATACACTGTGACATGCTGTTCGGCTGATTGCATGACTTTGTTTGTCCCGGAAGCTCTGGAGGATGGGGTCAGATCTTGGCCTACATGGCTTTCTGTGAAGTCTCCCAGGAACAGACCCCAGGAACTGATGCATATGCTGGAGACTTTGGATTCAAGGTGTTGACCGCGGCTGACCCGGCTGAGAAAACCAAGAAGCTCAATGCCGAAATTGCAAACGGAAGACTGGCGATGATGGCTATCATCGGCATGTTTTTCCAGGCAGGATGCGGCGAAAAGCTTTGACCTTTCGGTATTGGCTTCGTTGTGTCAGTTGCACCTTGCCAGGTATATATCAGAGTATATTGAAGAGTCGCGGTTTGAAGTCATGTCAGGAATCTGGTGCCGCATGCCCTTGTATGTAGGTATGTAGGTATGTGGGTATGTGGGTATGTCTGTCTGTCTGTTTGTCTGTCTGTCTGTCCGTCTGTTTGTCTGTCTGTCTGTCTATCTGTCTCTCTGTCTGTCTGTCTGTCTGTCATCTGTCATGTATGTATGTATGTATGTATGTATGTATGGTATGGTATGGTATGGTATGGTATGGAATGGTATGGTATGGTATGATATGGTATGGTATGGTATGGTATGGTATGGTATGTATGGTATGGTATGGTATGGTATGGTATAGTATGTTATGGTATGGTATGGTATGGTATGTATGGTATGTATGGTATGTATGGTATGTATGGTATGTATGGTATGTATGGTATGTATGGTATGTATGGTATGTATGGTATGTATGGTATGTATGGTATGTATGTTATGTATGTTATGTATGTTATGTATGTTATGTATGTTATGTATGTTATTGATGTAATGTATGTAATGTATGTAATGTAATGTAATCGAATATAATATAATGTAATGTAATGTATGTATGTATGTATGTGTGTATGTATGTACGTACGTACGTACGTATGTATGTATGTATGTATGTGATGTAATGTAATGTATTGTATTCGTAATGTAATGTATTGTATTCTAATGTAATGTATGTAATGTAAGTATGTATGTTATGTAAAGTTATGTTATGTTATGTTAAGTTGTGTTATGTTTTGTCATGTTATATGTGTATGTTGTTAAGTATGTTAAGTATGTAAGTAAATATGTATGTATGTATGTATGTATGCATGCTTGGTTTGTATTTTATTGTATTGTATGCATTGTATTGCTTTGTATTGTATTGTATTGTATTCTACTGTATTGTATTGTATTGTATTGTATTGCATTGCATTGCATTGTTATGTATGCATGTATGTAAGAATGTAATGTAATGCAATGTGATGTGATGTAATGCAATGTAATGTAATCAATGCAATGTATGGATGTGATGTATGTAATGAATGTAATGTATTTAATGTATGTATGTATGTATGGATGGATGGATCGATGGATGTATGCATGTATATGTATGTATGTCTATGTATGTATGTATGAATGAATGACTGAATGAACGGAATGAATGTAATGTATGTAATGTATGTAATGTATGTATGTAATGTATGTATGAAATGTAAATATGTAATGTATGTATGTATGTATGTAATGTAATGTTATGGTATGCTATGCTATGCTATGTTATGTATGTATGTATTGATGTTATGGTATGCATGCATGTATTTATGTTATGGTATGTATGTATGTTTTTATGGTGTGGTATCTGTGTATGTATGTATGTATGTACGTATGTACGTATGTACGTATGTACGTATGCATGCATGCATGCATGTATGTATGTATGTATGTGTGTGTATGTATGTATGCATGCATGCATGTATGTATATATGTATTTATTTTTGTTTTGCTATGTTATGGTATGTTTTGTTATATTATGTTATGTTATGTTTGTTATGTGTGTTTTGTATGTTATGTGTAATATGTATGTTTTGTATGTTAAGTATGTTATGTATTATATGTATGTTATATATGTTATGTATGCAATGTATGTAATGTAATGTAATGGAATGGAATGGAATGGAATGCAATGGAATTCAATGCGGTGCAATGCAATGCAATGCAATGCAATGTAATGTAATGTAATGTATGTGTTGTGTTGTGTTGTGTTGTGTTGTGTTGTCTTGTGCCGTATTGTATTGTATTGTCTTGTATTGTATTTTATTGTATTGTATGGTATTGTATTGTATGTATGTATGTATTGTATGTATGTATGTATGTGATGTAATTGTATTGTATTGTAATGTAATGTATTGTAATCTAATGTAATGTATGTAATGTAAGTATGTATGTTATGTAAAGTTATGTTATGTTATGTTATGTTAAGTTGTGTTATGTTTTGTCATGTTATATGTGTATGTATGTTAAGTATATATGTAAATATGTATGTACGTATGTTATGTATGTATGTTATGTATGTTATGTATGTTATGTATGTTATGTATGTTATGTTATGTTATGTTATGTTAGTATGTATGTATGTATGTATGCTTGGTTTGTATTTTATTGTATTGTATTTTATTGTATTGTATTGTATTGTATTGTATTGTATTCTACTGTAGTGTATTGTATTGTATTCTATTCTATTGTATTGTATTGTATTGTATTATATGGAATGGTATGGTATGGTATTGTATGGTATTTTTATTGTTTGTATTGTATGTACTGTATGTATGTGTGTGTGTGTCTGGATGTATGTGTGTATGTGTGTATGTGTGTATGTGTGTATGTTGTATGGGGGAAAGGTGTATGTGTGTATGTGTGTATGTATTTCTGTACGTACGTACGTATGTATGCATGCATTGATGGACAGACGGATGGTTGTAAGTTTGTTTGTTTCCTTGTTTGTTTCTGTCTTTGTGTTTTTGTGTTTTTGCAAAGTAATGTTTCGTTTTGTTTTGTGATGCTATGTTATGCTTTGTAATGCATGTATTGTATTTGATGTACTGTGCTGTAGTGTAATGTGATGTAGTGTGAAGTGATGTGGCGTAATGTAGCGTGATGTAAAGCAATGTGCTGTGATGTAATGTAATGTAGTGCAATGTAGCGTAATGTAATGTATTGTGTGCAATGTATGTACTGAATGTAAAGTATGTAATGCATGCAATGTACGTATTGAATGCAATGTATGTAATGCACGGCGTGTGTGTGTGATGTATGCAATGTATGTACTGTATGTCATCTATGTAATGTGTGTACTGTATGTAATGCATGTAATGTATGTAATGTATGGTCTCTATGCATGGATGTAATGTAATGTAAATGTAAGGGTAAATGTAAATGTAAGTTCAATGTAATGTAGTGTCATCAGATGTAATCTGATGTAATGCAATGTATCGACTGCGTCGAATGTATGTAATGTATGGAGTGTATGGAATGTATGAATTTATATTTGTTTGTATTTGTTTATGTATATGTAAATGTAAATGCGTATGAAAATGTATAAAATTGTAAATGTCCAGTAAATCCAGATGCATGTGCCTGTGCATATATGCATGTGTATGTATATGCAGCGTAATTGTATGTAATGCAATGGTATGCCATGTAAGGGGACGTCAAGTAAGGGTATGTCATGTAAGGTTATGTAACGTAGGGGTATGTAATGTAGGTGTATGTAATGTAAGTTCATGTAATGTAAGGGTGTGTCATGTAAGGGTACTTCAAGTAAGGGCATGTCATGTAAGGGTCTGTCACGTAAGGGTATGTAATGTAGGGGTATGTAATGTAAGTTCAGGCAATGTAAGGCCATGTAATGCAAGGGTATGTAAGGGTATGTGTGGTATGTATGGTATGTATGTAATGTATGTGATGTTTGTAATGTATGTAACCCATGCAATGTATTTAATGTATGTAATTTATGTACTGCAAAGATGCATGCATGCACGCACGTACGGACGTACGTAGGTACGTAGGTAAGTAGGTATGTATGTATGCTTTGGCCATGCGGGTTTGCCCATTCACAGCTCGTCCATGTTGCCAGGATGGCTTGACCGGAAGCGCCTGGGGTGACTGGGCCAACTACACTGCTTCGCCTTTGCGTTGAGTTGTTTGCACGCCATTGCTAGCTACAATTCGAGATCCTGGAAACCTTCTGGGATCTGGTATCAGTCTGGATGAACCTGTGCAGATCTGGACTTGAAAAAAATACCAGGGCTGACTTGCAGATGTGTCTTGGCATCAGTAGATGTAAAGCGTAAAGGTGAAAATGAGCGGAGTTTCGAGTTATTTCTGTTGATCGAAGGAAGTTTAGAAGTCAAACTTCCGACAATATGGACAGATGGAAAAGTAGAGGTGGCAAGAGTCAGAGAGGAGGGAGAAGAGCAGAAGAGAGAAGATCAGAGAAGAGAAAGAGTGAGAAAAAAGAAGATGCAGGTGCGCGACAAGGTAAGAAAGTCGCCATTCACTGTGTTTTTCCAATGATTTGTGGCTCCGGAGGGTCGACAAGTCGGCTCGCTAAAGCGGCGGTACGGAGCCATCTGGCCAGATGAGAGATGACAAGTTGCACGCCGTTTTGGCGCGAAGCACATTTGCAAGTGAAAAAGCTAAAGGCATTCACGATCGGAGCGCTTTTGGAAGCTGAGATGTCGAAAAAGTGCACGCCGTTGTGGCGCGAAGAACATTTCGAAGTCAAAATGTTAAAAACACCACACGCTCGAACGACTTTTGAAGATTGTGTTCAGATGTGGTTTTGCGTGGCATGCGCAAGGGATTCTGCACCTCGTCAAAAGTCAGCAAAACGCGAGGGTTTTGTAGCATTTCCAAACACAATCGCAGGTGTGGGGCATTTGAACACGATCCGGAAAGAGGCATTTTGCGTGGCAGGCGCAGTAGAAGAGACATGTTCACCAGAGTTGTTAGGAGGTCCGGGCGCGGATTTCCTAAGAGGGGTTGCATTTTGGAGCATCAGATCTTCAGGTTTGCCAAGATGATTTTTGTGTGGCAGGTGCAGCACTTCGTATGACCTGGCATCACTTTTTCGTGGCAGGCGCAGCACTTTAGACAGATGGAGTGGAAAAATCGCAGAACCCATTGGTACGAGGCCGTCAGCTCTGCACTCAAGTTTCCCTTTTGGAAGGAAGTCTCGCAGAATTGCTTCGTTTTCGATATTGTCAACCTGAAAATTGAGGAAATCTGGCTAAATTGTTTCGATTTTGACGTTGTCAATTTCAAAACTTGAGGACGTCTCGCAGAATTGCTGCGTTTTTGATGTTGTCAAGCTCCAAAATTGAGCAAGCCTCGCAGAATAGCTTCGTTTTCAAGCTTGCAGATAGACAGATAGATAGATGGACAACTACAACTGCATTACACTACACTAGGCTAATTACAGCACACTACATTACAACTACAACTACAACCACAACGACAACTACAGCTACTACAACAACAATAACTGCTGCTGCTGCTGCTACTGCTGCTACTACGACTACGACTACTACTACTACTACTACGACTACGACTACTACTACTACTACGACTACTACTACGACTACTACTACGACTACTACTACTACGACTACTACTACTACTACGACTACTACTACTACTACGACTACTACTACGACTACTACGACAACTACACGACAACTACACGACAACTACACGGACAACTATACGACAACTACACGACAACTACACGGCAACTACACGGCAACTACACGACAACTATACGACAACTATACGACAACTATACGACAACTATACGACAACTATACGACAACTATACGGCAACTATACGGCAACTATACGGCAACTATACGACAACTATACGACAACTATACGACAACTATACGACAACTATACGACAACTATACGACAACTATACGACAACTATACGACAACTATACGACAACTATACGACAACTATACGACAACTATACGACAACTATACGACAACTATACGACAACTATACGACAACTATACTGCTACTGACTACTGCTACTACTGCTACTGCTACTGCTACTGCTACTGCTACTGCTACAGCTACAGCTACAGCTACAGCTACAGCTACAGCTACTATACAACAACAGGACACGACACTACATTACATTAAACTACACTACAACTAAACCACAGCTACAAGTACAAGTACAAGTACAAGAACTATACTAAACTACACTACACCACACTACACTACACTACACCACACCACACGACACGACACGACACGACACGACACGACAGGATTCGACACTACACTACACTACACGACGCTACGCTACACTACACTACACTACCCTACGCTACGCTACGCTACCCTACCCTACACTACACTACACTACACTAATGACACCACACTAATTACACTACACCACACCACACCACACTACACTACACTACACGACGCTACACTACACGACGCTACACTACACTACACGACGCTACACTACACGACGCTATGCTACGCTACACGACACTACACTACACTACACTACCCTCCGCTCCGCTCCGCTCCGCTCCACTCCACTCCACTCCACACCACTCCACTCCACTCCACTCCACTCCACTCCACTCCACTACGGCTACAGCCACTACACTACACTACACTACTCTACACTACACTACATTACACTAGACCCCACTACACTACCCTACATGACATTACACTACACTACACTCATTACACCACCACAAATGCAACTGCAACTGCACTAGACAAATTTAAAGGCTTACGCCTGACGGCCGGGCGCCGGCCAAACAACGACTTTTGGCGTATGGTGTGGGAAGATTGGGCCGAGATTCTCCGCGAACAGCCAGGGAGGGCTATGTTGAACTGAGGCAGGCATAATGCGCAGTGCTTGCTTGTATGGAAGCAGTCTGGGCCTATGTTGAGCGCAGGTTGTGCCCATGTTCGGAAACATGTTTTTTTTTTCAAGATCACATATATAATATATATATATATATTTAGTATATATATATATATACATATAGAGTTGTTGATCTATATATATATATGTATTAATGTAACGTAATGTAATGTAATGGAATGTAATGTAAAATGCAATGTAAAATGTAAAATGTAATGTAATGTAATGTAATGTAACGTAACGTAACGTAATGTAATGTAATGTAATGTATGCATGCATGCATGTACGTACGTACGTACGTAGGTATGTATGTATGTATGTACGTACGTACGTATGTATGTATGTATTCTGTTTGATGTTTTCCCAATGTGTTCACACTTGGGGTTTTCACGGTAATGGTTTAGGGCTTGGTGGATCGAAGGTGGGCGCATATGTGTTCGCCTTGTTTGGTGACCCTTGCAGCGTAAAAGTTCCTCAATCTTCCTTTTTCGCAGGAATCTCACACGAAACGGTTCTAGGAGACCTCTATTGCCGTGTCCGTTTTAGGTGCTGCAGATTTGGCAGTTTGGCATATTTTCGGAGGGTAAGAATGCGTGGCAGGCGAACGGCGCAAGACATCGGGCACTTTTTCATTCACATGGCACGCGCGATTTTGGTGAACTTGGATGATGGTCTTTCCCAGTCTGGTACTTGGTCATAATTTTCAGTGGCAGGTGCCATGCTTCCGATGCCTCAGGTGCGTTTTTATTTCGTAGCAGGTGCAATACTTTGAGACTTCGATTAAAAAGTGATTGAAACCTGGGCTATATATCGTTTTTCAATGTTTTTCACCTTTTGAGTCGAGCTTTCGCTTTCGCGCAGTACTTGGTCAAATTCAAACATGGGTTTGCGCGCAACCCTCTCGTCACTTTGTGCGTGTCGGATCGTTCTCCTTGTGGCGCCGTGCTCAGTTTGATATAATGTGATATATCGCTCGTGCGACCCTCCCATCACCCTGCTCTTGTTGGATTGTCTCGTTGTGGTGCGGGGCTCATTTTGACATCTCTCTCGCGACCTTCCCGTCACTTTGTGCGTGTATGTGCATGTTGGATCGCTCTCGTTGTGGGGCGGTACTTTGTGCTACTTTACACACAGGCTCTGCTACGCAATCGCTTTTACACACAGCCAGCAAACCTTAACACACAGGAAACTTTTGCGCGCCCGCGTTTTTTCACACAACACTTTTACACGCAGGATCTTTTACGCAAGCAAACTTTTCCGCGCAAACTTTTACATACAGAAACTTTGACGCATAGGTGCCTTTGGACGCTTTTGCACTCAGGTGCTCTGGGAAATACTTTACGCACAGGTGCTGTTGCACCCGCGTTTTTACACACAGAAGCTTTTGCGCACAAGAGGCTTGACACACCGAAACGTTACACAGCGAAGGCTCTACAAACAGATGGTTCTCAAACATTTGTATTTTTACACAAGCACACAGGTGCCTTTACAGACAACATGCAGACACTTTTGCACAGAAAGTGTTGAATTTTTACTCAGAATCACACAGATACTTTTACACAGACAGCTTGTACAAACCAATATCTACTTTTACACACACACACAGAATCATTTACACACAGAGGCTTTTTACACACATGTTTCTATGCAGATGCTCTCACACAAAGAGCTTTTGCACACAGAGAGCTTTTGCACACAAAACCTATTCCACACGCAAACAACCTTTTAGACGCAGGAGCTTTTACACACAAAACTTTTTGCACACGCAAGCTTCCGACGCCAGTCCGGCGCAAGAATATCCCGCTTCTTCCTCCGTTTTCAGGATCGACACGCGTTTCGTTCAGGGAATATGGGCAATGAAGCAGAAACCAAATCACGGTTTTGCCTTAATTTGGACAATCAGCAGGTGTTTCGTGTGGGAAGGGTTGTTCGGCGCATGTCCAGCACAATACAACCGCAATTTTACGTGAATTTTGGATGATTGACGCGCGTTTCGCGCGGGAAGGTTTTGGCGCAAGAACTTTTTTTCCGCTGGCGGACGCGCGTTTTGTGCCTGAAGGGTTCGCCAAGTCCCGTTTTACCTCAGTTTTTGACAATCGACATGCATTTTGCGCAAGAAGGCTTCACCGAGCACCGGCTGAGCGCCAGAAAATCACATTTTTTTTAAACCTGAGGTTTTGATTATCGATGCGCTTTTTGTGCGGGCAGGGTTCGTGTGCCCGCCGTATCGCTATTCTAGTGCAATTTTTGACGATCGACGTGCGTTACGTGCGAGAAGGCGTCCACCTGCCCTGTCCCGCCGCTTATGGAATATTTAAAAGATTCGAGAGAGATGTGTATAGGTACTTTCGCCTAATCTATTCACCGGCACCTATACACCTGCAAAACTGCATAGAT